GATGTGGGACAGGTTCATGAACAGTATGCACCACTGGAACTTCAACTGGGACAGGAACTTCAACAGGTTGAGGAGCATCGACTTCAACAGGAACTGGGTTGACTACTGGTACGTGGTAGGGTTGTGGAATTTGGACTTCATAGGGCCTGTCAACATGGTAAGGGACATCTACTTTAACAGGAACACTGACAACTTTTCTACTTGCACTGGGACTGGATGTGGCACTGGTAATTGAACACGATTGTATGATACTGTGTGCTCAACTTGACGATGTCCATGATGCTCGATAGGTGCTTCTAGACCATGATGTTCAAATCCGTGACCGACGACACCGCCAACTGAACTGTGTTCATGACTATGTAGGTCCAAACCATGACCAACTGCACCTCCTACCAAACCATGACCAACCGCACCTCCTACCAAACCATGTCCATGGTGTTCAAATCCGTGTGAGACAGATCCTGCTGCTAAACTTTCATGCCCATGATGAGATTCTACAAATTCGCCTAATTTCTGGCTGAACAAAGGAGGCCCATGTTCCACAGGTGCTCCTGCTCCCAGCAATCCACGTTTTTCCAACTTAGTCGCCGAAGCGGCCGCCAAAATTACCGTCAAGATCTGAGCGATTCATTATCAGTTTTAACAAATAAATAAAGAAATAATAATATTAAGTAGTAATAGACTTACTATGATCTTCATGGTTGTTTTGCTTGATATGGTTTTCTGAACAATGATGCATGGATGTCTTTCGTCACCTGTTTTTATATGAAATCCAAACACGCATAATATCACAATTTTAAACACTTTCACCGAAAACTATAATTTTAAATCATCTTAGCGGACCATATTGTTCTCACTTTTTTATAATGTCTTTTGAATCTATAATGGGCGAATGATATAACAGTACGGAATCTGTCGGTTTGTGAGAGATTTATGCTAAATGATTTTCACAAAGAAATTTTGTGATCAAATTAGTAGTGATTCTGTTGCCAAGCAAAAAGCATACGAAACTTGTGAATTCAAAAAGATAGTTGTATTTGATAAAATAACAAAAGTAATTGTGTCGGTGCCAATCACTTAAATGTACAAATTATATTTAAGACTAATTTAATGGGTTCTTTTGTTAAATGAATACTTATTTTTTGAAATTTAAATCTTCAATATTTTTTTTATCGAAAATTTTATTGGTTTAGTAGCTTAAAATATATTCTGTAATAGTGTCTGAAAATTATATATTTTGCTCAATTTTTCATAATCAAACTGAAATTAGAAAACCAATAAGCGATTGAATTCAATTCAATCAATTCATTGTGAACTATTATAAATATTCCAGCAAATTAAATCAAATTTACGATGTATATATATATATATATATATATATATATATACATACACAATATAAATTTTTACTAACTAGATTTTTACAATATACAGTAGGTAAATAGTACTAATTAAAAATAATTATAAACGATGTGGAAAAATTACTATCAATTTCGAACTATTTTTAAATAATTCCAAAATACTAGTATGTTTTTAATATTTACATTATATTTTATAATTCTGAGCTCATTAATTAATTTTTCTATTTTATATTTTCCCAAGACTTATATATACATGTATATATATATATATATATATATATGTCTTTAATATATCTTTTTAAACTTAATTATATATTTAAATTATCTTTTAACATTTTTCACAGTATGATACTGTTTGAAATATTCTACAAATGCACATGTAAATTCCTGTAAACTAATACGTCCGCATTTCTAAAAAATATTTTATTTAATATAGTATATCTTGCAAATTAAGACGAAATCCAAAGATAATATGTTGAATTACCTTTAAAATTGGTTCAAAATAGTTAAATATTCTATAATAAACGCTTTTATAATTATTTTATAATTTTTTTTCTTCTAATTTTTATTATACTTTCGCCTTCTGCCCTAAAGCGTTTTTTATACGAGATGACCCCCATTTGAGACATGATGCTCTTCTATTAATGAGAAAGCATATGATTTATTTGATGTCTCCGGCATCTCAGAAAGTTTTACATAATACATACCACGTGGATGATTTCTCATTAAAATATTTGTTTTATTGACACCATAACTAAAAAAATACTTTAAATATTTATATAAATATATTACTGAATATAATTGATGAATTATGATATTTTGCAAATTAACAATTAAATTTTTAAATAATTTGAGAAATTATTATTCATAATAAGTTTGCGCTAATTATTTTGAGCATCTGGAATTTTTAAATTTAATTTGTTCGAGATTCAATGCTCTGGAATGTTCGCAAAATTGGAAAGTAATTTTATGTCTATGAAGGTTATAATACATATTAAAAGCCGCTCTATAAATCTAACGAACTTTATTTCGTAACATCAGTTCGCATATATTGACATATACAATTGATATGAAATAATAATACATGCGTTTTTACAAAAAATAAGAATTTATTTATTTTTATATACACAGCATAAGATGATGACGTGATGAAGAATGGCGTGTGATTTGATGATGGGTTAACAGCATTTTTTATGTTGATGTACGGTGCCCGTATTGTTTTTTCAAGCGATGTGATGTCCAGTCATGTTGTTTGAAATCGGGCAAATTTTATGATGTTAAAATATCCGCGAATTCGGTTTTTCGATGGTTTACCAATGTCCGTGTCCGCCTCCCAATCCATGACCGCCTCCCAAACCTCCGTGAGCACCAGCAGCGGCGAGAGCGAGCGCTGCTCCGTGTCCATCTCCGAAACCTCCGTGTCCACCTCCGAAACCTCCGTGTCCGCCCAAACCGCCTCCGAAACCGCCATCACCGAATCCACCGTGTCCAATATGCACTGGTTGTTTCACAATGACTGGGGTGTGCACTGGAACTGGGACGGGTTTGACTACCTTGACTGGGTAGGGTTGTGGCACTGGGACAGCTACCTTGTTTACAACTGGGACCTTAACTGGGTAAGGAGCAGCTACTGGGTATGGTTTGTCTACATGTACTGCGTATGGCTTGTCTACGTGCACTGGGTATGGCCTGGATACTGGAACTGGGTATGGCCTGTCAACTTGGTATGGAACTGGGACACTGTATGGCACAGAGACGGTTCTCTCGACTGGGACAGCCACTGGTTGAGCAACTGGGATTGGTACGTTTTCTGTGAGCACAGTTTGGGTGACAGTGCCACCGCCACCACCACCACCAGCGCCGCCGCCGAAACCGCCTCCGGCACCGCCACCGAATCCACCGCCAAGACCGCCTCCGAAACCGCCGCCAAGGCCTCCGCCAAGACCGCCTCCGAATCCTCCTCCGAGTCCACCGCCGAGACCTCCGTGTCCGCCACCTCCAGCTAACAGGAGAGCGCCTCCACCATGTCCGCCGAAACCACCGCCATGTCCGTAGCCAAGTCCTGCCAAGCCACGCTTCTCTTGTTTCTTATCTACCTTCTTCTCGGCCTCCGCATTCACCAATGCCACCGTCACCAACAGAGCGATCTGTAATAAACAAATCACTTTTCATCACGTTTACGTATTAAATGATAAGTCACGCATATTTTCTTTTTTTAAGAAAACATTATTAATTTTACAAAGTCAAATTAGACCAAAAAATACGAGCACGTAAAAGTATATCAAAATGCGATTTAATTATTAATTGTAACCTATTTTTGCTAAATGAATAATTTACGCACATTTTTAGGTATTTTTAAGTAAATCGAATGCGATATTAAAACTCACCAGAAACTTCATATTTTTGCTTGTGTCTGTGAAGCGTTCAGCTGAATGCTGACTCCTAGATCACTTACCGTCGCTTATATACGGCCACCACGCAGCCTCCTTGCCCACAGCACACTTTCGCCTAATGCATCCAGTGTATGCACATGCATGCATAGCCCCTACCACTGTGTGTCAGGTTTTTCACAGAGTCCGTCTCTTGTGCATAATATAATATAAAATAATATGCCCCATGCGATAATTAATCTAACCGGCATTGATGTACTCTCGCCCGCTTGCCTGATATCTTACATAACGTGCTAGGGAATCTCGTTTCGGAAAAATGTAACGAGAGCAAGCGACCACATATGGGGGGACCGCGCCGCGGAAAAGCTGCGTAACGTCCTTATGGATTTGAAAGATCGCAGCCGGATCGATCTGTGATTCATGCTCGGAGGAAAAAATCATATCGGCGAACGCACTAATGTTCTGGATGTTAACGAGTAGCTTTTTTGAATATTAAATGATTTATGTACCGCGGAAATAAACAGTAGCCAGTCTAGTCATTGCTAAAAACAATTCAATTGCATCATTGGAAAAAATCCAGCTCCAGTGTTGGCAAAGAATTAAAAAAGCTCTAATCTCTTCCGGGTGAATAATGAACTTTTTATTATAGGGTGAAATATTATTAGTTAATTATAAACTAGTTCTGTTAATTAATATTCTGAATGTTTGTTTTCAATTTTTTTAGTATCGCGTGCAAAAGCAGATTTTTTTTAATTGTAATAATAATTATGATTTTTTTAAATTGTAATAATAATAATTGTAAGATTTTTTTTAATTTTAATAATCAATAATTTTAATTTAATTTAATTTTTTTATATTTATATTTATACAATACAATTATACAATTATTGATATTAGTGGTACATAACTTAAATTAATAGATAACTAGTGGGGTGTATGGTATCGTGCTTTGAGGCAAATTGCTGAAACTTCCGTACCGCAACGAAATGTTCGAGGAATACCGAATGTTTTCAAATAGATTATGATTAATATTGTAACATTGTCTAATATTTATAAGAAATATATAAACTGAATTGCGAAGTTGAAATTATTTGTTTAAAGTATATTAAAACTATAGTCAGAATTAAAAAAAAAACTGAATTATTTTCGAAACACAAAAATTTTTTTTTTGAAAAAAAAATGGAAACAAAAATTTTTTTTTCCAAAATCAATTATTTTGTTAAGACAAGCAGAATCATTTAAATCGGACGCTTAGTTCTTTCAAAAACTGCCATTTTTTACACATTTAGCTCCGTATCTTTAAAATGGCTGCGTCTGCCTTTGCCAAAAACTAATAAACACTTCTCCCAATCATTACTAATTGAATCTTTTTTGGATCATTCAAATCGGATGCTTCATTTTCTCAAAATCTCGATTTCTATTTTCTGCACTCTTTGCTCTTTATCTTCGTAACTGCTGGACCTGCCTTTGCCAAAATCTAATCAGCTCATCTCCCTATCAATAGGAATCGAATGTTTTTTGAACCATTCAAATCGGTTGATCCGTGCGCCCGAAAACGTGACAGGAAATTTGTATCCATACATACATACACACACATACATTCATTTTTTCTGAGGTATGCCAAAATGTTCAGAAACCTTCAAAACGTCGAGAAATGTAAAAATTTTCAATTTCGATTTTCGGCGCATTACAATAACTTACCCTACGGTTAATAATACATACTACAAATGAAATATAATTTAAAAACAAATGTTCACTCATAACCTTTTCGCTTTTTGCATGAAAGAAAAAAAAACGGAATAATTTACTAAAATTTATAACTCAAATATTCATCAATAGAGTAAAAAACTTGCTCTTTGAAAATGTGTTGAGTTATTTATAAAATTTTCTATTACCAACTTCTTTAATACCTAGCTTAATGTAAAGTATTAATATTGCTTAATTAGTAATGCATTTTACGGATATACGATGACAGGATTTTTATCGATTATATATATATATATATATATATATATATAATTATTATTATTATTATTATTATTACTATTATCATTATTATTATAAGGTGATTGAAAATGCAAAAAATATATAAATTGCAAAAATTATATAGATTTAATTTGAATTGACTCATTCTTGCCAATTTCCAGAGACTGATTGTAGAAATTAATATCATTTAATATACATGACTTTTTCATATAAAAGCATGACTTTATTCTGCAATCTGATTATTCTAAAACATTAAGCAAAAACTGTTAACAATATAGGTAACTATATATATATGGGAAAATAATATTGATTAGAAATTAGTTGATAGGTTAGTAGATGCCAGTGGCGTCATGCCGGATAATTTTTTATACATAAGCTAAAAATGCTTTTTATAGAATTCGGACTATGTATGAAAATGATATGTTTTCTTTCAAAAATTCAATAATTTTCTTCGTTTTGTCAGTGTTTTTCGAATATCAATTGTAGAATAGCTCGTTTACTAGAAAAACATTTATATAAATAAAATAGACATCTAAATATTAAATTTAGAACATACTGATCAATAATTTCTATATATATATGTTGAGTATTAGATATAAAAACATTTACTATTTATTTGTATTTGTTGTATTCACTTTCATTATTCTTTTATATTTAAATATGTATCTCGATATGGTAAAATACTATCCCAAAAAATGTTTATCCTGGCATTTGGACATAAATTATCGATACTAATGATATGTTAATAAAAAACTAATGAAAGAATATTTTGTGCAATGATAATTTTCGTTTAATATGTCAATACCATTTGTTGTAATTCAGTCAGTTACTTGGACATGAGGTTTGTTGATTGAATGGAATTAAATAATAATTTTCTAGCAATATATTATGCAGAGATCAAGCATAGCTGTACATTCATCAACTTGGATTTAATTTGATATTTGATATTTGACTTTGCCACTTAATGATATCTTATACGTTTGAAGGACGTGCAACTTACAGGGGGCATAAAAATTTCTAAAATATCAAAAACTTGCTCGAGAAATTGTTACGATGCACAAAATAAAAGTTTGAAACAGATACCAGAAAACTGCAAATTAAAAAATGTTAATTGAAACCTATAACTTTTTTTTAACAATTATACTATGTTGAAAATAGCAATAGCTTTGTTTGATTGTATATAATAATATAAAATATAATAATACTAAATCATTATGAATTAAACATATATATTGCATTAATTTACCTACGCATAATACTTCAAAATTTTTTTGTTAAATTTATTGATTTTTATTACGATTTTATTTAAAACCAGATAAAACGAATGAATCAAATTGTTGCATTTACTATTCATGGCAGATACCTGAATATAAATCATTTGAAAGTAAATCTTTAACACGACTTCACATATTTTGCATTTCTATGTGTCATTTTATAAATCACATAAAAGTTAAAATGATGAATATATTTTGGTAACTGCGGCAAAAACTGACTTTGTTCAATATTGGTGTTTATCGATGATATTGAATAAAATTGGGTAAATTCAGTTGAAAAAATCAAGCATCATTAGACTAATGTTTTACGATAATATAATTTATTATAGTGCAATTTTTTAAATATTTAATAATTAAACTTTAATTTTTGTAATTACTGTTTTTAATTCAGTATTTTTTTAATTAAGATTTGTATAATTTTGTCGATGTTGCAAAGCCCTATAAATTGTTCTACACTCACGAAGCTTATTATAAATCTATGACGGTTATTTCTAGCATCCCGTAGGGTAGTTATAGTAATTGGTCAAAAATCGAAAATGAAATTTGGTTTATAAATATCCTATTATCCATATTAATTTTTCTTTTCGAACGATATTGTTTTTCGAGAACTACTGAAAAGTTAACTGATACGTTTAGTTTTAATAAAATTATAGCTAATGCACTAAATGAAATTTATCAAAAATCTGACTATATATATATATATATATATATATATAAATTTATAATCAAAGACATTCCTTATATCCAAACTTCGATGTAGATTGAACTTTATTCAGAAATTTGCACACCAGTCTCGATAATTACAAGGTGTTCTTGATTATTCCTTTAGGTATTCACGAGTGATTAAGCTTTAGTAAAAGTTTTCTGATGAAATATTATTACTATTTAACAAGATTGATTACTATCGATTAGATATCCGAATTGCAATAGTTAATACATTAGTAAGACAAAGAGAGTCACCGCGGAACAAAATTGATTAACGACGACTCATTCGCAAATCTAATTTGATTTTCATGGAAAATTTGTGTCGTGAGTTTTTTGATACAATTGCAAATTAAAAGAGGGCTTGAAATAACTACATAGGAAAATATTTATTATTTAAAGTTTTATCATTGTACACATCTTGTACAAATTTTGGTGATACTATACTCTTCTTAGTGGATCTTATTTTGTTATCGATAATCTGCGTTAACACATTTTATTGTACAGAGTATTCAATAGAAATCGATTAGCCATAATTAAAATATAATACTAAAAATGAAGAAAGCAAAGTGGAAAACCGAATACTAAAAATATTATCTCAAGTAATTTCACAAAGTTTAATGTTACATGAGTCCAATACAATTAAGTACAGTATATATACCTACATACGAGTACGTTTCTGAATAGGAAATTTTCTAATTGAACTTGAACTTTATATAACATTATACAAAGGTTTTTCTATTACATTTTGAAATGCAATAGTAGTTTAATATTTTTGCTTCTACTTCACTTAAATTTTGCGTATCTTTGGCGGTATTTTAGAATAAAACTTAATATATGAGATAAATATGTATATTATTGGGCCATATATATATATATATATATATATATATATATATATATATTTATTATTTATTTTAAAATGTTTTTTATTTTTATTAAGGGCCTAAATTCAAAACTTTAATTATATGGCTTTATTTTTATAATTATTTTTTTAAAGCAAAATTGATAAAATACATACTTTTTTTTACTTCAAAATACTATTTA